CGTTTATATAAATGATGAACAAAAGTGGACCCAGTACCGATCCCAGTGGAACACCACTGATCACAGACCTCCAGTCTGAAAAACAACCCCCACCACCGCCCTCTGTCTCCTACCATAAAACTAGCTTTGTACCCACAACTGACATCCAAATGCAACTTTATATAAGGTCAGTCATGTCCATGTAATCTTACCGTAATCTCACACTCGTATCATCCATTTCTTTTTACTTCCCACAAGGCGAATTGTAAACCGTAATCTGCTTTATTTAATTATGGTATAAAAAGGAGCAGAATGCAGATCTTTTAGTATCTCAATCTATTCCATAAAATTTCTTTTAAAACTATGATTGTGCTATCTTATTCTCAGTAGCTGACAAGCAAATATCCGACATTAATCAACTCTAACCATAGGAAAAGGATCTCTCCCTATGGAACTACTTCCATTCAGACTTCATGGGTGGAATCCTATGCCCTATCCAATTAAATACCTTGCAGGAACCCCTGTGGATGGCCTTTCTGCCCCATGACCAATGAGACCCTTAATTGAGCAATTAATACCACGTAATGACCTTATCCTCCACCACTGGTATTATGCCAGCTGCATGCAGGAGGCTTACTATTTGAGAACATAACCAGCAAACGCTGGTGTGTTTGTGGAGCTTGAGAAGGATCTCTCATGAAAGGCACTAAGTGCCTGATCAAAGGACCCACATTTTGGGTTAGGGAGAGGGGAGGCAAGCTGCTGAAAGCCAGACCCACCTTTGCTGCAATTGTGGTTCAACTTGACAAACCACCATTGGAGACACAGATACAGGTACAGTCATTTATTCATGTGTACTGTAGGAGAGTCAGTCTTAAACATTCTCAGACCAAATACTTACAAAAACACACAAGTTCTCATCTTCTTTACGCTGAAGATCACGCACTCAAATTCTAAACTGGCCACTTTATGACCAGATGTCACTTATTTGCCATGGTACATACTTCAAGCTTTGTTTGTGTTCACAGAATGCCTTCCCTTATCCTGCTGCTTGAACAGTCTAGGCTATGTCTTTGTTTCTATTAATCACTCCTTAGCCAGATGTTTTGTTATCTACTTACATTTATTTTACGACAGAAACTTCTGACTGAATCTGTATTTAATCCTTTCATCTTTGACCCTTTCACTGCTGAGCCACTTATTCACCTACCAACAAGCTCCTCCCCTGTTTGTGCCTGGGTCACTCTTTGATCCAAAGCCTCAGGTGAGCATAGTGCCAGCTCAATGTTGGCCTGTCAAGTGCCTGAGTGCTTGCTGCTAGAGGCTGCCTTCACTAGAGGCAATGCCTATTCTCACTGGCATCTCAGCCAATTGTTGAGACTTCTGTCTTCTCCACAAGATACCGTGTGTGCCCGCTAGAAAGATACATGGATACTCAAAAGACCAGGATTGGGTGAGCACAGAGATTTCAGAAGGTGGAAGAACTTGCAGTATTAAGAGCAGGCAAGAAAGAGGAGTTGAAGCTGAAGATCAATTGTGACCATATTTAATAGGGGCAACAGGCTTAGCAAGCAATGAAGTCTACTGTTCTTATTTCTGACATTTCTAACAGTGCTCAGTTTATGTGTAACACTGTGCAAGGATGTCATGCTCTTTGCAGTTAGAATTGTGTCTACATGTTTGTAGTCCAGTCATGGCCACCGGTCCTGGTGGTGCTGCTGGGACAAGAGATCTGGCTAATCTGATTGGAAGGGAACTCTGTAAAATGGGACGTCCTCCCTGATAAAGGGAAGTCTTGCCTGAAAGCGATCAATGTTGCATCCAACTTTAAATTATGGGGGTGCAACCATCAGAATCATGTATGGGCTACCCTGCCCCAGATTTATGAGCTAGCAAAGTGGGACGATACTGTCCCATAAAACCCAACCCATGAACATAATCATTCTCTTTACATTCCTTCCCCAAAACAGCTACCTTTATTTAAAAGGTTTGATTTTTTTATTTGGATCGTTCTTTCCTGCCTCATCTCAGTTCTGTTCTCATGATCTTGAAAATTGAAAAATGATGTTTGTAAATTGCAAAGACAAAATTATCCATGGAATGTATCTTGAAAGCAGGGGGCTGGTTAGCTTTGATTGCTAGTGTGTTGTTCAGAATAAATCCAACAGGATGGGTTCAATTCCTGTTCTGGCTGAGGCAGTCTTGTGGGGTCCTTTGTCACCTTGCCCCCTGAGTGTGGAAGGCAACGGCCATCACCACGGACGAAAACTGCTAAGGAACTTACACAGGTTGAAGCACTAGCAGCCAATGAGCCTTCAAGTACAGCACACACAGAACGGAACGGATTCCAAAAAGAATATGCATTAAAAAAATAAATTGCTTAAACATTGGATAACGTGCTTATCCCAATTTTTAAGTTTGTCAGTGTTGTTGGCTATTGCCTCCCACACTCGGGGGCAAGGTGAGGAACCACCCCGCAAGACTGCCTTAGCCAGAACAGGAATTAAACCCATCCTGTTGGATTTATTCTAAACAACACACTAACCATCGAAGCTAACCAGCCCCCTGCCTTCAGGATACATTCCATGGATAATTCTGTCTTTGTAAGCCACAAACATCATTTTTCAATTTTCATGACCAAGAGGACACAGCTGAGATGAAGCAGGAAAGAAAGAAGAAATTTTAATGCTTAACAGATCCAAATAAAAAACTCAAATCTTTTAATTGGAGGTAGCTGTGTTAGAGAAGGAATGCAAAGAGAACGATTATATTCATGGGTTGGGTTTTTTGGGACAGTATGGTCCCACTCCACTGGCTAATAAATCAGGGGCAGGTAGCCCACACATGATTCTGATGGCTGCACCACTGTAACTTAAAGTTGGAAGCAACATTGGCTGCTTTAAGCTGAGACTTAATACATTAGAAAAATGCATAAGTAACGAAAGGAAATGTCTGAAGTTCATTGGACCTTCTCGGTCAAGTTTGATTTCCACTAAACACGTCTGTTCACCTTAAAGCTTTTCAGTAACTTTTTGGCTGTTATGGTTGGCCTGTAGTTACCTTTACCAGTCATTTCCTACATATTTACTTATTCCAATGCCCTGAAGGTAGCTACTAATTCCATTACAACAGTGACAATACCTTACAAATTTTTTTTGGCTGTTTAGCTTTGGCATATCCTGAGGTCATAAAAGGCAAAATATAACAACATTAACAACAATTTGCATTTCCATAATGCTTTTGATGGAATACAGCAGCAGAAGATGTTTTGGTGCCAAACAAATTTTTGACAGTAAGGCCAGGAAGGAGATTTTAAGTCAGATAACCAAAACCTTGGTCAAAGAGGTCATTTGTGAGGAGCAAGAATAGAAAGGTGGAATGGTACAGAGAGGTGATGCTAGAGGTTGAGCAGCATGGTGGCATAGCATTGCTGCCTTATAGCGCCTGGGACCTGGATTCAATTCTAAACTTTAGGCGACTATCTGTGTGGAGTTTGAACATTCTCCCTGTGTCTGCGTGGTTTCTGCCCATGCTCCAGTTTCCTCCCACACTTTAAAGATGTGTAGGTTAGGCAGATTGGCCATGTGAAATTGCTCCATAGCGCCAGGGGTGTACAGGCTAAGTGAATTAGCTATGGGAAAATCCAGGGATACTCTTTGGGTGCTCAGTGCAGACTTGGTGGGCCAAATGGCCTCCTTCTGCACAGTCGGGATTCTGATTTTAGGTTAGGGCTGAAGGCATTGCCGCCAATGCTAAACTAATTAAAATCATAGATTCAGAAGAGACCAGGCCTGGATGAACACAGAGATTTTAGAAGGTGGAAGAACTTGCAGAGCTAGGATCAGACAAGGAGAAATCAGAGAATAAGATGATAATTTTAAAATTTGAGGCCTTGGTAGACCAGGAGGCTATCTAGGACAGAAATGATGGACAGAATTTGTTACATATTGGGATGTAAACAACAGAAAATTGGATGAGTTTGTAATTGAGAGCAGATAGAAGGCAGGCCATAACACCATTGAAATAGTTAAGTCTAGAGATAACTGAGGCTTGGACAAGTGTTTCAACAGCAGGTGAGCTGAGGCAATGGTTAAGTCAGTCATAGTAATGCAGCAGATGTGTTGTCAAAAGCTCATCTTAATATAAGCACAACAATGAGGTTGCATGTGGTCTGGTTCAACCTCAGACATTTGGGAGAGAGATGAAGTCAGTGGCTAGGAAACAGGGTTTACGGTGGGATTGACAACACTGCCTTTGATATTCCCACTACTAAGTGGAGGGAATTTGTATTTGAACAGTACAGAATATCAAACAATCTGTGTAACAAACAGGAAACTTGACAGAGGTGGTGATTGATTCAAACTGTGTATTTTGAGTGTATTTGATAAATGTGAGTCCTTTTCTCTTTCTAACTGTCGTCAAGGTAACAATGAACTGTAACTTCAGTCTGTTGGAAAGCATGTAGACGGAGTAAATCATGACAGACTTCACGTACACCTTTTATTGTACCTGGGTCGAGAACAGTGGGGAAAGCTCCCCTTCCATATTGAACCAAGGGCAAAAGTCGAAACTGGGAAGAAAGTAACTGCTAAGACTAAAGAAAAATGTTAATGAAATATTGGTACATACTTTGCAAACAAGACTTAACCAGCAGATATGACTGTCATGTTTGCTGAAAACAGGTTGAAATTTAGGTATGTGAAATCTAAAACAAACAGAGATAAATCACAAACAAAAGCAGAAATTGCCAGAAAACTCAGAAGATCTGGCAGCATCTGTAGAGACAAAGTAGAGATAATGTTTCGGAGCCTTCTTCAGAAACTCTGCTTTGTCTCCACAGATGCTGCCAGACTGATTGAGCTTTTTCAGCAATTTCTGCTTTTGTTTCTGCTTCCCAGCATCAGCAGTTCTTTTGATATTTTTTGTTTAGAGAAAAATCACAGTTCAATCAAAAACTGAAAGTATAAAAAGTTGTCTGATATTTCAGGACCTGACTCTCTGCTAGTTGGGGGATCTCCAGATAGAAGTATGCTACAAATAACTAGGAATCAGTAGGCACAGAGTTAGAAAGTCCAATAGTATGTCACCACTAAAGCCAGATTTCTAACATGTTGAACCTTATGGTATACAAGCTATGAAGAACACTAGGCATTCTTGGTGTTCAGTATTGCCCTTCCAGAGGAATTTAAAAGAAAGGGTGATCAGGATGCTAAATTTATTTAAATATCTCTGATCTCAAAAATCAGGCCTGATTAAAGAGAAGGTTCTTGCTTCATCAAAGCTGTACTGGCATTGCAGTCAACTGGAAAATATCCCATTACTCTTTTCAAACATGTACTGAGGCCTGAACTATGGGACTTGGTCGTTCAACTAGGTTTTTCAATATTAAAGGAAAAGGTACTTTATACATATTTGAAGATGCTCTTTCTGTGAATGTCTTGTCTGGCCAGTTTCTGTCTCACAGGACACGAAATGTTTTCTTTCAGTTCTACATCAGTGTGAAGGATTGGTGGATGTTTGGGTTTTATTTCTGCATGCCCCTAGTCTGTACTGCTTTCTTCTATGCTCGAATGACCAGTGAGATGTTAAACAAGAGGAACAAGAGTTTGAGGATCGCCTTGAGTGAGCACTTGAAACGGGTAAGATCTTTTGACTATAGGTTAATGCCACAGAGAAGCTGTGTCCGAACCTGAACATATCTCAGTTCCAAAATGTCAAGATATTTGCCAAGACATGGAAAGCCATGGGCCAAGTGCCAGAAAATGAGATTAGAATAGTTATACGGTTGTTTTTGACTAGTGCAGACTCAGTGGGCTGAAGTGCCTTTTTATGGTACATGATAGAACGGTGATAATTTACTGAACTGCCAATGTCTCATCAGTTTGTGTATTATTTACATACCTTTCACATCACAGGTATGTGAATGACACTGTTGTAAACAAATGAATAGCTTAATGAGACAAATTGCACCATTAATAATTCCAACTAAAAATAGCACAATGTTGATTCACCATCCCAGCACTTTACATGGGGATCCAGATTTGAAGCAAGTAGGTCTAGAACCTCTTAATGTAGCACAAGTTCTCCAAATTCACATAAGTAAATCAGCTCTTAGTTTTTGCCTGGTCACCTTAACTTCCACTGGTGGACGACTGAATGCTTTTTCTGAAATTTTCTTTCACAGGAAACAAAGTTTTTTTTCAAAATAAAATGCATTAGTCTCACTCCCCTTCATTTTGGACCTGTTTAAGTCTTCATTGCTGCTGTCATTGTCTTTAATTTGAGGAAAATGGATTTTTTTTTACCATTCCCTGTCTTTTTCATTACCATTTTAGCTGTTGCTTCTTCAAACCTGCTGTTCTCTTAAACAGTCTATTCCCTGATCTTGTCCTTGATCTTTCATGAGCCAGTAGATGAAAGACTGTTGGTTCAGAAGAATCCATGCCTTCTCTTCTAGCTGTGTTGAAATGTAATTTCTGTACATTGTCAGTGTACAGTCTCCAAACTCTGTATGTGCCTCACTTCTTAATTCAGCACCTCATCCACTGTTTTACAGAGTTAACCGCACAAGATAAAATTGGGTTAATTTTGACTTTGTGCTGTAGTGTAAAATAGCCAATACCTGTTTAGCACCTGTTATATAACTCCATTTTAATTTTTTCACACATTTTACACTTCATGCTATTACAGTCAAAATAACTTGCTTTCACCAGCTTGTGTTGTGTTTTTTTTTACATCTAATTGTTCAATAAAGGATTGTCATTAGCCCCCAATTTACCAACAAGTGTGAAAAAATGTTAGTTTTGCTTGATACTATCTGCAAGTGGCTAAGACAATTTGAACTAAAGCTTTTCTGAAGAAGGGTCCAGACCCGAAATGTCAACTTTCCTGCTCCGCTGATGCTGCCTGGCCTGCTGTGTTCATCCAGCTCCACACCTTGTTATCTCAGACTCCAGCATCGGCAGTTCCTACTATCTTTGAACTAAAGCTTGTTTTTTGTTTTTAATTTACAGCGCCGAGAGGTAGCCAAAACCGTTTTGTTTTTAGTTGTGCTTTTTGCTTTGTGTTGGTTCCCTCTCCACCTTGGCAAGATTTTAAAGAAAACTCATTACAATGAAAATCGCTCCAACAAATGTGATTTCCTTAAGTAAGTGAGATTGACAAATACTATTCTCTTTACATCAGCCTTGAATTCATTTAGGGAAGAAACTCACAGGAAATATTAATAGAGTTTCATATGAACTTATTTCCCACTATCATAACCTGTTTAATTGTTAACTGTATTTTTAAAAATTACCTGTATGAAATAAGCAGTTAATATGTATTTTCAGACTTGAGAGCTCTCAATTGTATGGTGCCTTTCACACCTCAGAATGCCCCAAAAAATTCATTTCAAAATGTACTCACTGTGAATGTATTTTACAATCACATTGTCAGAGCAATGTGAGTTCAAGTTCTTTTCAAGGGATTTGAGCACATAATCTAGGCTGACACTCCACCACAGTACCGTAGGAATTCTGCGGTGTTGGAAGAGTCACCTTTTGGATGAAATGTGAAACTTGGGTCTTTCCTCTCAGAATTCTAGAGTAATGGTGAGCATCCTGGCCAATACTTATCCCCAAACTCACATCTCAGATTAACATCATTGCATCAAATTTTGAAGGCAGTTGTGAATGATTGGTGCTCGCTATACCTTGAGTATATAGTAGCTTGCAAATATTTTATGAACTTTCAAGTAGCACCTTGTGCTGATCAGGATTCTAATAGCACAAAGAAGATCTGTGATGTGTGTGAGAAGGGCACACAACAGCACATTCTACGACAAGTAATTCTGGGTGGGATGGACTTCATAGGGGCCAGTGTAGACTTCATGGGCCGAATGGTGTGCTTCCACAATATAGGAATTTGATGAAAAGGACAAGGTAACAGATGCTTGGAAATATCAGCTGCACGTTCCCCTCCAAACTCTTGGCTTTGGAACTATATCACCATCCTTTTATTGTCATAGAGTCATAGATCTGTACAGCATGGAAACAAACCCTTCGGTCCAACTTGTCAATGCTGACCAGATATCCTAGAAAAACCTAGTCCCATTTGCCAGCATTTGACCCATACTCCTCAAAACCCTTCCTATTCATATAGCTATGCAGATGCCTTTTAAATGTTGTAACTGTACCAGCCTCCACCACTTCCTCAGGTAGCTTATTCCATACATGCACCACCCTCTGCGTGAAAAAGTTGCCCCTTAGGTCCCTTGTAAATCTTTCCCCTCTCACCTTAAACCTATGCCCTCTAGTTTTGGACACTCTCACCCGGGGAAAAGACTTTGTCTATTTATCCTATCCATGCCCCTCATGATTTTACAAACCTCTTTTAGGTAACTCCTCGGCCTTCAACGCTCCAGTGAAAATAGCTCCAGCCTGTTCAGCCTCTCCCTATAGTTCAAACCCTCCAACCCTGGCAACATCCTTGTAAATCTTTTCTAAACCCTTTCAAGATTCACAACATCTTCTCTATAGCCTGGACAGGACATACTTGCGCAATAGAGGCCTGTGTTGTAACTGTACTGAAATGGCTTGCCCAGAGGTACATACAGTTCTGCACCACAAATGTTCAGCACTACCAAGATGTTGTCAGGACTCATAATCTTTGCTTTGTCCAGTGTGACCAGCCATTTCTTGAAATCAAGCGATATGAACCAAATCACCTCAATATTTGCATCAGCGGTAGTGGGGACCTCAGGAGGAGGCTTGACAGTTCTGGTTAAAATTGGCTCTGCCCTGTACTCTTCCCGCAACAATTACATTCTGTGCCCTTTTTAATCTCAGTGCTTCATCCAGATATTGTCAACATGAAGAGGACTGATTCTATTGCTGATGGAAGGCACTAAGTATCAATCAATAGGAGGCTTCCTTGTCCATGTTAAATCTCTTGCCATGAGTCTATGGGTCAACAAGTCGAGGATCCAGTTACAGAGGGGGGAGCTGAGACCTATTTGGAGATTAGTTTGTTTGGAACTATGGTGTTGAATATGGAGCTGTAGTCAATGAGTTGGAGCCTGACGTAGGCATTCTTGCTATCCAGATATTTAAGGGTTGAATGTAGGGCCAGGGAGATGGTGTCTGCCATGGACCAGTTGTGACGGTAGGTGAATTGCAAAGGATCAAGGCAGTTTGGGAGGCTGGAGTTGATGTGAGCTATGGGTAACTCTCAATGCACTTCATAATTATTGATGTCAGAGCCACCAAGTGGTAGTCATCGAGGAACACACAGCATGATTTTTCTTTGGCACTGGGATGATGGTGGTCGTTTTGAAGCAGACGGGAACCTCAGATCGGAGTAAAGAGAGGTTAAAGATGTCAACGAATACTCCCGCCAGCTGGTCCACACAGGATCTGAGTGCATGGCCAGGGACTGCACCCAGGCTAGTCGTTTTGTTTGAGTTCCCTCTCAAGGCCAATCTGATGTGGGTACCGGTGCACCAAAGCTGTTGGGTCAGGTGACATTGTTTCACTGACCTGCTGTTTAAAGCAAGCGTAAAATTCATTGAGCTCATTGGGTAGGGATATACTGTTTCCAGTGATTCTGTTCGACTTCGCTTTGTAGCCTGTTATGTCGTATAAGCCTTGCGACAAACAACAGGTGTCTGTGTGGTTAGCCTGGGACTCAAGCTTAGTTTGATATCGCCACTTGGTGTCTCTGGCCTTACGAAGGTCGTACCTAGATTTTCTGTATAGGTCAGGGTCACTCAAATTGAACACCTAAGACTTGGACTTCAGTAGGGAGTGAATCTCCTGGTTCATCCATGGCATCCATTTGGGGAACATTCAGATTAACTTCTTTGGCATGCAGTCTTCTACACACTAACTAATGAAGTCTCTAATGGTAGTGGCATACTCGTTTAGGTTGGCTGCTGACTTCTTGAATATGGACCAATCCACTGACCCTAAGCGGTTCCGTAGAAGTGTACAGTGGGTGAGAATGTAGGGTTCCATCCCAAAAGAAATCAGTGAACTAGGTAGTGTTCCATGACAATCCAGCATCTTGATGGTAATCTTTACTGAGACTAGTTTTATTTTATTCCAGAAATATTAACATTTGAATACTTTCAGCTGTTGCAATAGGATTTGAACTCATTTCTTGAGAGCATCTGCCAGGCATCTGGATTGCTCGTCGAGTAAAATTACCTATTCCCCATAAAATTAAGATCATTACACTTTCACTTGAATGCACTAGCCTTAAATTTTTTTGACATGTTTAATGGACAGTTAAAGGGTAAATACCACAACACATGCCCTTGCATGTATTTATATGCCGAATCTTTTCGTGAGGTTCCATGTGGTGAAGCTTGTTGGAAATAAAAGGACAAACTGGCATAATTTCCAGATTTCCACATTTTACTGCACATGTGTGAATGTCAGAAGTTGCAGACCAATTCACACTTTAACAATGGAATGCACAAATTAGCAACAACATTGCCTGCTTAAAAACTGTAACTGCAGCTCAAAGGAACTTCATTGACTGTAAAGCACTTTGGAACATTCTGAAGTCATGAAAGGCACTGCAAGACTCCAAGGTTTCAATCTCTTCTGGTATCGCAAAGTGTAGTTTCAAGGTATAGAAAAAATCAAATGAACTGTGGATGCTGCAAATCAGAAACAAAAACAGAAATTTCTGGAAAAACTCAGCATCTGTGGAGAGAAATCAGAGTTAATGTTTCAGGTCTAGTGACCCTTTTTCAGAACGGTTCTTAAGAAGGGTTACTGGACCTGAAATATTAACCCTGCTTTCTCTCCACAGATACTGCCCAACCTGCTGAGTTTTTCCAGCAATTTTGGTAATTTCAAGGTTCTTGGCATTAACATCCTGCATCATAAAAAGAATTTTCATGACGCTGTGCTATATCTTCAGAAGAATTTGTAAAGATTAGTAGGAAAGAGCAGGAGAGAAGTTAATTTCTACATTTCCAGTTTCCATTTCAATCTTGCTGATTGTGCAATTTTAACACCAATGTTTTTGTCAGCAAAGTAGGCTCCTGTCTAGCTCAGCAAAAGCAAATCGAGATTTCACAATGCATATGGCACTCTGAAGACAATCATAATCCAGTGCTGAGCTGCCCCTCTGCCTAATGCTAATGGAAAGCTGGCATAGCCATTGAGGTTAAGTTTAAACAAAAGTGTCTTTAATAGGGCGAGGAGGAGCAGTGATCTTCGGTGTCCCACAAGTCCTCCATTGCCCCCCAGCTAAGAGACCCCTGTGACAATTCCTCCTGCACTTATTGCTGCAAATCCTCTCATGGTTCTGCCATAGATTACCGGGGCTATCTGACTTGCTCCTCAACTTCCCCCTTAGTTGACTAGCGACTGCCTTCCTCCTGAACTTCAAATAGTGACATTAAAATAGAACCCAACAATATCGGATGACAGTTTCCACTATGAGGTCAATAGACCTTTATGTGTGTGTTTCTCACTTAATCTTTATAGAGCTTTATTCTGGTAGAAAAGAAAATAAATACTTTGTATTTCAGATAGTCAAGGATAGGTAATTAGACTATCTTTGCATTGCCTCATCATCATCTGCTCAGAGTAACCTGCAAATCTGAGTGCAAAGAATTTCTAGCTGCATTTTTCATTAATATTGTACAGGGCCAGAAACCACAAAAGAAAAACCAAATGTGCTTTGAAAACAAGGAACCTCAGCCAATGTGCCATGCAGAAGACCTATTCTGATTGGTTGAAGAATTTTTTAAAATATTTTTCTTGTTTTTATAAAATTGCCTCAATGTGCACAGTTTACAAGATGACTCATTTAATCTCATGAGTTTTAAGTCTTTCCCCCCTGCACATTGATGGGAAAAATTGCATAACAAACCACACTAAATCACAAGCTTGCTCCATCAGGACCTAGTTGTTTTCATGTCTGCTAACAAAAGGGACAGAATTTCAGACATCACGTACCAGTTGGTGGAATGAAATGTTCAATTGATGCTTTTGAACTTTAGTTTTAGGGCGATGCAAAGCAAATAAATGTAATTTCTGCTGGAATATTACAATGTGAGAATAATCTAACACTAACATTTGCTCCTTTCCCTAGCTTCATACTAGTCTTGGATTTTATTGGCATTCATCTAGCAATTCTGAACTCCTGTATAAATCCCATTGCTCTGTACTTTGTGAGCAAGAAATTTAAAAATTGCTTCCAGGTAGGAATCTCACTTACAATATGTGTAATTGGAATATTTGACTGAGTGTTAATTGAAAAAGAATGGGATAACATATATTTATTGATGGAGTATATTACACAGAAGGAGAAATTCCACAAATTCCATGTTTGCAGTATTGTACATATTCAAAGCTATTACAAGCAGAGGATCATTGCCACAAAGAATATCACATATCTGCAATTCATGAAGATCTGCCATCACCTTTTCAGAACAGCTAGAGTTGACAATTCGCACTATCCTTGCCAATAGCACTTCCATCTTCAGATTGAGTTAAAAATAAATATCCTAGACCTATGTCTCATCTTCAAATAATCCTGAAAGTCTCTTGCAGCCACAAATAGCCAGACTTAGCCCAAACATTATACATTAAAGAATAAAAAGTCTCTGATTCTCTACATCAATGCTTCTCGCTCCACGGCGTATAAACCAAGATTTTGGCATGAAGCTCCACCGTCAAAACTGTCAGAAAAATTACTTCCTGTTTATCTTCTTCGTATGTTTAAGCCTTCATACAACAGGAAGATTACCAGAAACTGACTTTTCTGTACCAGAACAAATGCCTTCCTTGAATCGAACCTTGAGCTATTATTCATTGCATTAGATGTAGAGTTTTACACCATGGGAAAAGATCCATCGCTTTTGTTCCAGTCTTCAAATATCTATCTATTCTAATCCCATTTTCCATTTATTGGCTTGTGGCCTTGTATGCTGTGGTGTTTCAAATGTTGTTCTAATTACTGCTTAATTATGTGAGGGTTCCTGCCTCTATTACCTTTCAGGCAACAAGGGCCAGATAGCTCCATACTCTGGGTGAAAGAATTCCTCAAAACCTGTCTAAACCACCTTCCCTAATCTTAGATCTATGCCACTTGATTATTGACCCTCTACTAAAGGGAAATTTTTCTTCCTATCTTTTCTATCTAGGACCCTCATAATTTTGTACATCTCAATCAAGTCCCCTCTCAGCCTTCTCTGTTCTAGGAAAGCAAACCCAAACTAACCAGTTTATGTTCATAGCTCAAACTCAGGCAACATCCTGGTGGATCTCCTCTCTATTACAATTGCATTGTTCCTATATCATGGCCACCAGAAATGTATACAGTACTCCACCTGTAGCCTAACTAACATCTTGTACAACTCCGAAAAAACCTCCTTGCTCTTGTATTTAATGCCTCCGTTAATAAAGGCAAATATCCCATATGCTTTCTTAACCACCTCACCTACCTGTCCTGCTGCCTTCAAGGACCTGTAGGCATAAACAGCAAGGTCCCGCTGATCCTTTTGTGTTTTCCCATGCCTTTAGTCCTCCCAAAATGCATCAGCTCAACTTTTTGGGATTAAATTCCATTTGCCACTGTTCAGTCCAGCTGACCAGCCCATTGCTTTCTATTGTCAATGACTAGGTTACAACAAATAACTTGGCCCTGATTTTTATTCCTGGTGGGTTCTTGACAGTTGGGAAGCTAGTGTTGTATAAAGTTATGATTCGAAAAGGGTTAAAGATCAATTTACATTGGTTCTATCACTTCTGCTCAAGTAATGTAAAGTCTGTGAGTGACAAGGAGTTCTACTCCAGCTTTCAGAGAGCACAGGTGTATGTGTACCAGCTCCCTAAGGTCCTTGTAATTATCTCTGATCAAATGTAGTTGTACTTTGTTTTTATTAGAATGGGGGCATCATCTATTTAGAGTTTCAAGTCAACCACATTGCTGCGGGTGTGAAGTCACATGTAGGCCAGACTAGTAAGGACATTAGTCCTTCCTTAAAATATATTAGTGAAACAGATGGGATTTTCTGACAATCAATAATGGATTCATAGTCATCATTAAATTCTTACTTCCACATTTTTTGTTATTGAATTTGAATTCCGTCATTGGCCATGGCAGGACTGGAACCTGGGTCCCCAGTACATTACCTGGGCCTCTAGATTAATAGTCCAGCAATACTACGACTAAGACATTGTCTCCCCTTATTTATTATTTATTACCATATTTATTATCATATAATGAACTTTTTTGTTATCTAAGAACAATGCTTCTTCTGTAGATGCTCATTGATGGAGTATCCTTTATCAGTACTCCTTAGATAGGCTGAAGACAAATCAAAGACAAAGGAGGATTGGTGGCTGCAAACTACACTGACCCTTACTAAGTAACAGTATTTCTAGAAATGGCAAATACCATCCAGTACCAGGAATGGTCATCTGAGAAAATAGAACAATGAGTTGAGGTGGAAACTCATCCACAGTCCCAGATATGAAGCCACGGCTACATTAACACCTAGATCCTATTGACATTGTATTGACTGGATTCCTTCCTGGAATGGGTAAGAAACAAGTTGGAAGTATTGGAAAATATATTCACAACCAAGAGGCTGCCTGCTGATGTATTTTGTGGCAGGTTTGGTTTGCAGACTGTCTCTTTGGGGTCCCCTATTTGGGAACATGGGAATGTGAAATGGGGAGCCCCATACTCCCTTCTGAGGTCCAGGAGAGTACTCCAGCTTCTCCTGGTATAGCAATGGACCTTTTTATGCCCTTTTCTTCTTTTTCTTTTACTTTCGTTCTATATCCAAAAGTATTATCACACACAAAACTGAACAGATTTTTTTCCCACCACCAAATCATCCATGATACTAGTCATCTCTTCCCCAACATCACTAAATCACCTGTGTCTTCAAATAATCAAATTATGTGCAAAGCCTGGCAAGGGGAATTCATTGCCACTAAAGGTGAGTGAAAGTGCAGGGAGAGAGGAAGGGGATTAAATCAAAGTAGAGTTTGACGGTAAGATAAAACACTCCATCTCCTGCAGTGTCTAAAAGCATTGGAGGTATTGGTGAATACTGTGTATTCTGACTATGCTGATAGTCCAAGGACACCTGGGAACAAAAGTAGCTACAGTACAGGGCAGACAGTTGGCAACCATGACTGCCTGCTTTCTGGATCTATTAATGGCTAACTAAACCAGGTCCAGGAGCTGAAGCATGAGGGGGTCCACTGACTTGCGCACACCCCTCTGCACCAGATGTCTTTCTAGAAGGTCCTAACTAGCTGGTGGGAAAGTGGTGGTGATTGACCTAATCAGGCATCATTTAAGATGCATGATCTTCAATCCTCGCTCAGTGGAATAAATTTTCGAAGGGTTAGTCAGAGAGATGAGGAGCATTTTTCCAGGCTCCATCAGGGAAACTTGGGCCTTTGCTGCCATGAGCTTCAATCTCCCTCTTCTGACCATAATTGCTTCGGCAACTCTTACCAAATGGTTCCTGGTGGCATTCAGCTCCTACCTCAATTCTCACTCTCATCTGCTGGCCTTGACAATTCTGGTGGAAATGAGCTTCCCACTTCAGGTCACCCAGATACCAACTCTACGTTGAGTTGTAATGAATGCATTTATTTTGGTTTGTTCTTAGAAATGCACACAATAATCAGACAATGTTCTGTACCTTTTATCTCAGTAATTAGCCATCTGTTGGCAGGAAAAATAGAAAGCTAGTATGTTAATTATTTTGTATGTCTTTCAGTCCTGTTTGTGCTGCTGTTGCCAGAGCCAGGCTCTCATGAATGTGATGCCCATGAATGATACCTCCAAACATGTAAGTTTGCATTGGAAGAATCACGAACCCAATAATCCTGGTGATCGCAGCAGCCGGAAGGACAGCACAAACTGAAAGGAGAATTCTCCACTAGACGATGGGATAACATAAGTAGAGCACACATGCTCCTCCATGTCTTAAACTGTATCAATGAAGCCCTCTGATGTGATAGAACTGAAGACAGGATGGATTGTGACTAGAACTCATCATTTTAGATTCATTTTGGGATTCCAAAGGGATTTGATTACCTGTTGCAAAGAGTTGGTCATGTACCAGCATTGAATTTTTTTAATTGTGAATATCAACAGACGATGTTTGAAAACAGGCTTCAAACACCAGGTCGAGTATTTGTATGGGTTATTATCTTGAAAGGTCCTAAGGGCCCACTGTAGGCTTTTATCCACTTTTGACATTCTGTTTAATTTAAAATGACTGGGTAAGTTTTCTGATATTTCACATATGTCAGTAGGCTCTTAGATACTAGAATCCAGGAAGAAAAACCTGTTTCACAAATGTATTCAGTATATAAATTCCTATTTATCATCAGGGCGTACAATGATAATTTTGTGTGAACATATCAAGTACTTCAGCAAGACAGATTCTAAAATTCAATTTAAGTCAATTTCATTATTGGCTAACAAAAGGTAATGCAAAATAATAAAGACTTGTTTAAATTCTGTACTCTCTGTAAAAGGAAAGAATCATCCATTCTCATCACTCCTGCAAATCTATGGATGCCTATTATGATTAGTTTTAGGGGATATGTATCCTTTCCTTTTATATATAATGAATGGTGATTATTCTGTATTGTTTAAATGGACATAATTATTGTCAGTTTCTAGAAATGTCACATAGATGTACATAACAATATAACGTCCTCAGTAGCAGTATAATCAAAAGAAATAAATCCCACATCAAAGTTTTGTTTGTAAATTATGTATACTACAGGATCTATACCAATGAGCATGTCTCAGACGAGTTCTGACTTGTGTACTTGTAATGAATCCCCTACCTCCACCACAATGCAATAAAAGCAAAAATGATTCTTCTTTGCTGTGATTTTGTTTAATTGGTGTTTGAGTATTTACTGCAATATGGCAAAACAAATATGTAAAATCTGGTTCAACACATTCTTTATGCCATCTGTAAATTGCATTTGTTTTGCAGATGTTGACTAAAGTACGCCTGATACAGTTTGAAATTCCAAACACCTAAGTTATATCACAGCAGTGGATGACGTCAAAGAGAAATTTACCTTTCCACATAATTACCTGGGTGAATTTGATGTTTAGACATTTTGTCTTTAGATTACCTTTAATGATGCTAAGATGTTCACAGCTATTGTACACAGCAAAATTAAAATAATATTTCATTCTCTTCCAATTTTCTATTAAACTTCAAAGATGGATCCATTTACATGAGATAATGTTTACTGTGTGACTCTCTGTGGACAATTTCAGAAATTGGATCAGGCCTGAAAACGTTATGTTACCTTTTTAATGTACAGTGCAGCATTAAATGCACTGTTGAATGTCTGAACTTCTCAGCAGGGGCCCAATGTGAGACTGGCTTCCTTTAAGACTGCACCTTTCAGAGGTGAATTTGGTTGGAGCAGTGCTAGAATTGATTGAAGACAACTCTGTAATAAGGAAGTGCATTGAGTAATGGTACATCAGGGCAGTCAGCATTCTCCAAGGTTCTCCGATGCAGCACTGGATATTTTGATGCAGGAGGTGGAGAGAAATCCTCTATCTACATGAAACCAAAGCCAATATTTAATGGAGGTAATGGGAGTCTCGCCAGCTAGGTTGCTAAGACATCTGTTTGGGGAAGGAACTAAGTTAATGAGACAGACTGGTCTCTCTCAATGACGCATCATTTTCACTCCTACTTCTCTCACTCTGTTTGTTTCTTTGCTGAAGCCTGTCAGGCAGTCAACGCTGACTGCCACCACTTATGCTGAGGAGGTGCATCGTAAAACAAAGCCCTTCTAAAGCTGAAAAGGCAAAGATCAGCTATGGATCCAGCTTCTGATTGCTGACTATTGTTTAAAATTATGGATATTGTTTGAAGATAAATTATATTCAGCTCAAAATCCATCTGGCCTTCCAGGTGAGTTGTCTCTAAAAGTGTGAAAGGCGTGAGGCATTCACTCTGATTAATACAGTGAAGCCCAAGAGGCATTTCAGACTGATCCATGTGGCTCTTAACATGGGTTTGCACCAGACATGCTGGTGGTTATATCATAATGACTTATGCCCAATTTTCTTTCATGAGAAATAAGAAACAGGAGCATAGAGAATAGGCCAAGCAACCTGCCAGTCATATGTTCATTGCTGAACTACATCAATTCTACTTGCCAGTCCTATCCATATATTCTTTGCTTCCTTTGTTTTTCCCCTTCTTTGTCTTTGACATTGTTTTTATTCAGGTTCTATTCACTCCCATGATCTACACATTACTGACTAGGCCAGCATTTATTGCCCATCCCTAAATGCCCAGAGGGCAGTTCCGATTCATCCACATTGCTGTGAGTCTGGAGTCATATGTAGACTAGAACAGATAAGGATGGCAGATTTCCTTCCCTGAAGGACATTAGTGAACCAGTTGGGTTTTTCCAACAATCGAAAATGGTTTCATGGTCATCATTAGACTCTTACCTCCAGTTTTTTTTATTGAATTCAAATTTCATCATCTGCCATGGCAGGATCGAACCTACGTCCCGAAACCATTAGCTGAGTTTCTGAATTAATAGGCTAGCCATAGTGTAGGTCACTGATTCCCCAAATAAACATATTCATTGACAAATATCCACAGCCCTGTGAAGGAATTTCAAAGTTCATCAACAGTAAGAGTGATAAAGGAATTCTCTTCAGCTTGGTCCTAAATGCACAATCTCTTATTCCGAGTCTGTGCCCCCTCATTCAAAGTGTTCCAGCCAGGGGATACAGTCCATTAGCATCAAACTCAAACATGCCTTCTAAAAATTTGATACATTTCCATGAGATCACATTTCATTCTTCAAAACTCCAAGGAATCTGGGCGCATTCTAGGGTCTTCTTTCGTGTCAGGCAGCCTTCTTATTGTAACAATCAATCTCCTCCTCCCAAGCAAATAAATCTTCCTTTTAAATTGAATAGAATTGAATTGAATTAGTCTTTACTGACACCGAATGAGTACAGTGAAAAGTTTGTAATGTTGTTGCTTTGGCGCCATCTTAGGTAGAGGGTACCTAGGTACAAAACTTAAGTATGTGTTACAGACTTGAGAGAATCATAAATAAAACTTAAGCATGAAAATAAAGAATAAAGAAGTTTTCTTTTTAAAGAGCACTCAACCTTTAGTCTTTTCGTCAAGTCCATGCCAGCCTTCAGACCGCCCAGGCCAACTCTCTAGAAAAAGCTGGGCTTCAAACCTTGAGGCTTCACTTCCAGAACCCAAGGGCCTCACTTCCAGGACTCGCCACCCCTGTGCCACCCTCACCTGGGACTTGCCTGGACTCACCGCTCTCATGCTGGCCTGACCTGGAAGTCACCTCCAGGACTTGCGTGGACACACCACCTCTACGCTGCCTGGCCAGGGACTCACCTCTGGTACCACCTCTGGGACTCGTGTGACCTCTGGTCTCCTCCATTTGCCTCTGGTAAGTTTAAGTTAAAAGTTTGAAGAAAAAGAGAGAGAACAAATGAAAAAGAATGAGCGGAGCAGAGGAGCTCCAGCTGGAGCATCTTACTGTGCCACCATCTTGAATCTGAATCTTGAATTTAAACCAAAATAGCACATAGTACTCCAGGTGTGGTCTCAGCAAAGCCCAAATTTACTTGAACTCCCTATCAGTATGCATCATTCACCAACCAAATTAGAATGCAAGCCAACACATTTCACCCACAATTGACCTTACATTTGTTTCTCCCCCTGCACTAACTGCAAAACTTTATCCAAAGGTTTAACTGAGTTTGGGAATTTATTGTGTGGAAAATACTTAACCTTCTGTACCAAAGATTGAAATCGGTAAAATGTTTTCTGTTTTCGTGTGTGCGTGTGTGTGTGTGCATGTGTGTGTGTCAGGGGGAGGGTGTATTCACACCAATCACAACTGTTTTATTTGAACATGTAGCCAAACCATGCTCGTCAGTATGTTAAAATAACAAAAACACTCCCATTCCTATGCCAATTATCAACAAGCAAGAATACCGATACAATTGATCAACATGAATCTATTTGCACAGTGACGGCTTTAACTTTCATTTATTGAATTTCCAAGAAGTTATAATCATAAATACACATTTGATAAATGATGGTAAAGCTTGTCTTAGCAGACAAAAACAGAAGTTGCTGGAGAAACTTAGCACATCTGGCAGCATCTGTGGAGAGAAAGCAGAGTAAATGTTTTGGGTCCAGAGACCCTCCATTCAGAACATTAGTAACTAAGAAAAAGGCTGAAAATGTGTCAAGCCAGGGGATTGGGTGTGGGGAAAGTGGTGATAAAGGAGTACATGATAGGTGGAGATGGAGCCCAGAGAAAGAGAATAGTAATCAGGCAAACAAAGGGATGGAGAATGGTATGCCAGGGAAGGAGAAAAGCTAATAATGAAGACTAGTAGTGGGTCAGAATGAATTAGGTGTGCTAAAAGCAACCCAAGTGATGACAGGTTGGGTTGTGCGATAAAGGACAAAGAAGAAGGTGTTCAGGCCCTAAAAATAGTGAACTCAGTATTGAGTCCTGAAGACTGCAGAGTTATAGAGTCATATAGTCAAAGAAAATGAAGTGTTGTTCTTCCAGCTTGTGATGAGGCTTACTAGAACACTGCAGCAGGCCCAAGACAGAAATATTGGCCTGGGAACACAGTGGTGTGTTTAAACGACAGGCAACTGGAAGCTCAGGGTCATTTTATTTTATTCGCTGATGGGACATGAGTATCGCTGACTGGCCAGTATTTATTGTCCCTCTCTAGTTGCTGTTGAGAAGGTGGTGGTGAGCTGCCTTCTTGAACGACTGTAGTCTATGTGCTGTTGGTAAACAAATAATGTTCTGAAGAAGGGTATTTCAGGATATTGACCCAATGGCAGTGAAAGAATGACAAAATATTTCCAAATCAGTGAATGGCGAATGGTTTGCAGGGGAACTTGTTGGTGATGGTGTTCCCATCTGTCTGCTGCCCTTGTCCTTCTGGATGGCAGTGTTCATGGGTTTGGAAGATGCTGTCTAAGGATATTTTTGGTGAATTTCTGCAGTGCATCTTCTAGATAGGATGCACTGCTGCCACTGAGCATTGGTGGTAGAGGGAATGGATGCTTCTCGATGTGGTGCCAATCAAGCAAGCTGCTTTGTCCTGAATGGTGTCAAGCTTCTTGAATGTTGTTGGAGCTGCACCCATCATTGTAAGTGGGGAGTATTGCATCACACTCCCGACATGTGACTTGTAGACGGTGGACAGGCTTTGGGGAGTCAGGAGCTGAGATACTTGTCACAGTATCCCTAGCCTCTGACCTGCTCCTGTAGCCATTATATTTATATGGCAAGTCCAATTGAGTTTCTGGTCCAGGATGTCGATAGTCGGGGATTCAATGATGGGAACACCATTGAATATCAAGAAACGGTGATTAGATTGTCTTTTATTGGAGATGGTCATAGCCTGGCATTTGTGTGGTGTGAATGTTATTTGCCACTTGTCAGCCCAAGCCGAGATATCTTAGGAGCTACCTGACCCGCTGTGATCTCCAGCATTTGTTGTTTTCAGTGTTTATTGTCCAGACCTTGTTGTACTTGAACGTGGACTGCTTCTGTATCTGACGAATCTGAACGGTGCTGAGCATTGTACAGTCATCTGTGAACATCCCTACTTCTGACCTTACAATGGAAGGTCATTGATGAAGCAGCCAGAGATAGTTATGCCTAAGACACTACACTGAGGAACTCCTTCCGGAACTGTCCTGGAGCTGAGATGACTGACCTCCAGCCACCACAGCCATCTTCCTATCTGCCAGGTATGACTTAAACCAGTAAGAGAGTTTCCCCCAGGGTCCCATTGATTGGACTTTGCTAGG